GCACCACGCACTTAAACGTGGATATATGTAGATGTCTTTGGGTCACAGCATCCACTTACCATCAGGTGGACTGTATGCTCGCTCACCTTTATACTATAAAAAAATGTCACGACGATTTCTTACTTATTATTGCAATTGGAATTTCAATTAATTTTGAAATTTTATTCGCAATTTAATTTAATATAATTGAACTTAATGTTTTTTTATTTAAATAGTACTTATCATTGCAATTAACAATTGCATTGGTGCCGGCGAGAATCGAACCCGAGTTGCTCGCTTTGTGTCAAATGTACAGCGAGCAATTAACTCCCGAGTAACCACGGCTCCATAAGATTCAAGGAATATTCAAGTTTAATGTTCTACTGTTTTTTTCTCCTTAATTAACTTGTTGCGAGGGTTGCGTGCTTGCAAATAATAAAACAAGTAAAAATATAAAGAAAATAATAAAGCTTTTTATAATGAACTTCAATTACAATAATCATTATAATGTAGATTTAAATGTTAATTAACTATAACATTTTAAAAATGAAATAAAGTAATATAGTAAAATATACTGTTTTTTATTACATCGCTCACCAACTTGAAAATGGTTATCAATAAGACCGTATGCACTTTTTAAATATATAACAGAAAATCTCTAAAGCTATTTATTTTATTTGCCGATAAAATGTTCCTCCAGAGGATTCAGATAAATTTGTACCAGATATATGGACCACACCCCCTATAAATAAAACTGAGCCGGCAGGTATCGCCAACATCGTCTGCAAACATAAAAATATGATTTCTGAAGGCACTTTTTCCATATCATATTTATTGGCACTTTCTTGTATCAAAAATGTTTATATGTTAACTTTATTGTATTATAGTTAGGACTCAATCAATCTAAATATAATATCCTCTAGAACTAGAACACAAATTGATCCCGTGCTTGCAGATACATCTTACCTTTTTTGTTGTATCAAAAATGTTTATATGTCAACTTTATTATATTATAGTTAGGACTCAATCAATCTAAACATGATATCCTCTAGAACTAGAACACAAATTGATCCCGTGCTTGCAGATACATCTTATCTTATTTCTTGTATCAAAAATGTTTATACGTTAACTTTATTATATTATAGTTAGGACTCAATTAATCTAAACATGATTATCCTCTAGAACTAGAACACAAATTGATCCCGTGCTTGCAGATACATCTTATCTTATTTCTTGTATCAAAAATGTTTATATGTTAACTTTATTATATTATAGTTAGGACTCAATCAATCTAAACATGATATCCTCTAGAACTAGAACACAAATTGATCCCGTGCTTGCAGATACATCTTACCTTATTTCGGCAACAGTATGAAATTAAATAAGAACGGATTTACTAAAATACTAGCGATCTGCCCCGGTTTTGCTCGAGTGATGTCCGGATCTAGACAACAGCGCTGCCTACCGGGCTTCAATTATGAATCTAAGCCATCCAGGGACCCAGACGGAGATAAAAAATTACGTACACGAGTATTTCGTATGTATACATGGACAGGTCAAAATATATACATATATGTATATATATATATATATATATATATATATATATATATATATATATATATATATATATCGATCTGTCCTGGTATCGCACGGGTGATACTTATATTTTACAACAGCACCACTTACCGGGTTCAACTGTGCCTTTAACTTTTGCGAAAGTGTAAGCAATATCTTATAAGATAAGATAAGAAGAAAGAAAGAAATTACCGTTCTGCAGTACTGGCCGTTTCAATACAAAATAATTTTTGTTTGTCTAAGAATTCAAATTTTAAATTAATTTTACTTTAATAACCTTGCGTTATTTTTTTTTTCAAAATTAGTCATTTTTATTTCATCGCATTTGTATCTTTTTCGTGATCATGGATACGTTAAAAATTCGAGTCATTGTGAAATATGAGTACCGTCGTGGCAGCAACGCAGCACATGCGGCAACAATATCAACGTCGTTTATGGATCGGATGCTACAAAAGAACGCACCAGCTGTTATTGGTTTGTCCGCTTCTGTTCTGGAAATTTTGACCTGAAAAATAAACCCCGTGGTCGCCCAAAAACTTTGGTTGACAATGACGAATTAACGGCGATTGTGAAAGCTGATGATACTCAATCTACGGCTGAATTAGCATTAAAACATATGGGTGTTTCACGAACTAAATGATCTCTTGCGCGAAATACGCGTCAAGAGGTGTCTTGCTCTGCTCAACAGGCAAACGAAGGAGTTTTGAACCACATTGTTACCTGCAACAAAATAGGTTCTGTTTGACAATCGAAAGCGCTCATTAAGTTGGTTGGATCCTGGTTCAGCACCTAAACAATGACCAAAACGAAAACATGCTCCTAGAAAAGTGCTAGTCACTGTTTAGTGGTTTAGCGCCGGTGTGATTCATTTTATTTTATTTTATTTTATTTTTATGTAATGGAAAACCAACAGCTTACAAATCTTAAATAAACAACATGTTAAATTTACAAGAAGCCAATAACAGGTTCTCACTAATAGAAATACACTAACATAATCTTTCGTCGTTTAAAGGTCATAGCACAATTATGAGCAACAAATGGAGTCTAATTTAAATGCACAACATCATACATTTAATAAGTGAAACTAATAATAATAGCCATAAAGGAAAATAAAAGCAGGGTAAACGCACAACATAATTGTTCTTAAAGTAAATTAAATTACGACACAAAAAAATCTCGACTTAATGCCCGCCTTGCCGATACATAGCTAGTATTAAATAAAGCAAAATCATGCTTTTTGCACAGATTATTAAAAATATTACTAGACCGATATAAGAAAGTATTTTTTCCGTAATTAGTTGATGAAGCTGGTAAGTAGAGTAATGCATTCGTTCTAAGGTTAACCGTAGGTGTTCTCAGTGATATTTGCGATAGCAGATCTGAGCAGTCGACATCGCCAGAACAAATTTTCAATAAAAATACAATGTCAGCAATTTCCCGACGCTTTATCAAAGGTAACAGATGATGTTGTTTGCATAAGGATATATAGTCTTCTGAACGGTATTTTCTATGGGTACGATAGCAAAGATATCGTATGAATTTACGTTGAATACTTTCAATCCGTGAAATGTATGTATCATACATTGGATTCCAGACTTGCGAAGCGTATTCAAGCGTACTGCGGACGTAAGTGCAGTACAATATTTTAATTGTTTTAACGTTATTAAACTCCTTAGCAGTACGCATGACAAAACCTAACGCCTTAGATGCCCTAGCTATGATATTGTCAACATGGTTGTTGAATAATAACTTAGAGTCGTAGAAAATCCCTAGATCACGTACAACTGATTGTTTTTGTAGCTTCTGACCTTTAAGGTGATAGCCGAAATGAATTAAGTTTCGCTTGCGTGAATATGTAATGAGGGTACATTTTGACGGATTTAGTTCAAGCTTATTAATAGTACAGTATTCCCCCAATCTTAGTAGATCTTCCTGCATTAATTCAGCATCAGCTTGCGATGAGATTGTGGAAAATATTTTCATATCATCAGCAAAACACAGTAGGTGTGATGATTTAAAACAGGTTTCAATATCGTTAACAAATATCAGAAATAGCAACGGTCCCAGTAAGGACCCCTGTGGTACGCCACTTGGTATTGACACCCAACCTGATATATAATTGTTTACAACTACAGCTTGCGAGCGATTGTCGATATAAGAGGAGAACCACCGCAGTAGGTCTCCACAGATACCAACATACTGAAGTTTTTTTAAAAGCAAATTATGTTCAATCCGGTCGAAAGCTTTACTATAATCTGTATAGACAACGTCAACTTGATGACCATCATTCATGGCTTTAGTCAAGAATGAATTAAAAAGCACCAAGTTGGAAACGGTGGATCTACCCTTGAAGAAACCATGTTGAGACTGGCTTATTCTTTGTTTGAGTAACGGATACACCTGCTCATAAACCAACTTTTCAAAGACTTTGGAAATAATGCACAACTTAGAAATTGGCCTATAATTAGTGACATCAGTCCTAAGACTCTTCTTGTGCACAGGGGTGATATATGCACGTTTCCAAATATTAGGAACTGAGCATTCATCCAACGATTTACGAAATAGCAAACTTATTGGTAGTGCTATCGTCTTTGCACAATTAATAAGAAAAATGGCTGGTAGATTATCAGGTCCAGCAGATTTAGATGCGATCTTTCCGGATCGATACGTCTTAGGGACCTTCAAGAAAAGAAGCTACTATTTTGTAAAAGGCCGACAATGCATCTGCAATTCTGGTCTGCGGTTGTTCGTGAGTGGCAGAAGTCACTTATCTATACTTACCTAGACTGCACTAAAAGTATCGGGAATGGAATATTTCCACAGTTCCTGTCATATTAAAATCTTTTTAATTGAAAACTCCTTGGTTTTAAAAATCGAATACCATTTATTTATTTAAAAAAAGATTCTCGGTCTTATCACAAGGTTTTGTCAAACTTGTTTAGTCGTTGAGAAAATGGAATTGACTCGAGAAAATGGGGATCGAGAATCGACTCGAAAAAAAATCAAAGCGGGTAGCTTGGTCGGCTATCAAGTGCTTGTGTCCCGTATTAAAAATTATTTTAAATATAAAACAGCATTTTTAAATAAGTAAACAAGTATATTTAAGAACAATTTTAGTAGTTTTATAAGATACATAAGTAGAATAAAGTGAAAACAGTGGTTGTTGGTTGTTACAGTGCAAAATAGTTATCAGCTGTTCGTAACAAGATCAGCTGTTTGTCATTAAACCGTATTGCAAATTGCTGCTGTAAACATTTAAGTTATTTAACAAACCTTAAATAGTTAAATGTAAATAAGGTAAATAGTATATAGTAAATCTTAAAAATAAAAAATTATTAAACATTCTTATAATTATACATATCAAATTACATAATTAATACAAACTTCGTACAGCGACATCTATTGGTCTAACTTTCATCTAAATAAAGTACTTGTCATTAAAAATGGCAAATAAGTGCGGCGCCTGTGGTCGTTTCGCTTCTACAATGGACTCGATAAATGATAGATGTGCTAGTATTCCTATTGACGGCCGAATATCAAATAAATGGCAATGCAGCGGTTGTAAGGCAAAAAATGTATGTGCGAGTGGGGTGAACACAATTGCTACGCCTAGTTCGTGTAGCTCGGGCGGCACGGACACAGAGTTCGGCGATGCACAGCTTGGATCCGACGATAGAGGGCGCTGTGAAACTAATGTCGACTTAGCAAACGAGCTAAAATTAATACGCGAGCAGTAGACTACTATTGCCCGCGAAATGGTATCTTTTCGCCAGGAAATCACTAACATTAATTCTAATGTTAGTGAAATAAGTAACAGGGTTAGCGACGTCGATAAAAGGATCCCATATCTTGAGCAGCAGGCAACGGACTTGCCGAGTCAACCCGGAGGGTCCAAGGTCGAAGATAGCATAGCGGAGTTAAAGTGTCGACTTAACGAGCGTGATCAAGAATTACTTTTAAACGATCTGGAAATATCTGGTGTAATAGAACAGAAGGGCGAAAACCCCATGCACCTCGTCACTATGCTTGCGGTTAAAATTGGCACTGAATTGGACGAGCGCGATGTCGTAAGTGCAAGGCGTATAGGCATGCGCCGCGAGGAAATACCAGGCAGCGGGGACAAGCGGAGGCCGCGTCCGTTAGTTGTCCGTCTCGCTCGTCGAGTGATTCGAGATAAACTAATTCACGAAGCGCGCGTTCGACGGGGGGCGGATACTGCCAGTTTGAACTTAGGTGGCGAGCCGCGCCGATTTTATGTTAATGAGCGGCTCACCTCAATCAATAGGCAATTATTTTATAAAGCACGGGAAGAAGGGCGCCGCAAAGGCTGGAGATATGTGTGGACGCGGGAAGGATGCATTTTTGCGCGTCGTGATTCTGGTTCACCCAGTTATAGAATTCGAACAGAAATAGATACAAACAAAATTTTTGGGGATTGAATAGTTTGAAGCGAATTTTAATCCTGTTCTTTATGTTACTTCTTGCACGATGTCAATTTGGCTGTCGTCTGGATTATAATTATTTCTCAATGATTGTTTCCCCTACGCATCTACGTAGCTGCTATTACGAGAACATTTTATTTTTATTTTTATTTAGACTACATTTTATTTCCATTTTATTATTAGGTTACATTTTATTTTTATTAATTTGCTTTGCATACGTTTATGGAGTATGGAGTAAATTTTTTGTCTGTTATTTTTTAGTTACACTTTTAATATTATCACATTTATTCTTTGTCTTTTGTTATAGTGAATATTGTGACAGGTTTAGTGTTTGCTTTCTAACGTGTAGCAACATAACGGGTAATGGCGACAGGATATTGTCGAATAATATATTCGGCAATCAATTATGTTTATTTATAACTTATAACTGTGGCCCATACATAGAAATGTATTTGACAGTACATAAGCAGTGGTATCATAGTCTCCTTTATTATGGTTTTGTTTGGGTTATTATTAATGTTACAACGTTTTCGTATTATTATAAATTCTTTGAAAATTATTAAATTAAATAAGTTGAAAATTGGCTTCTTGAACCCCGGGTCTCTTGGTACTAGGCACGACGAATTCCTAGCTGCTATGGCGCATCACTCTGTAGACATAATGGCTATCAATGAAACATGGCTTCGGACAGGGGAGGAAGGCCGGGCGCCTTCTGTTCCAGGGTATCGACTGCTTCACGTACCCCGACCTCCCGAAGTTCGTGCGCGTGGCGGCGGTGTGGGTTTTTATTTGAGACGGGGCTTGTCGTCAAAAATTATTCAACATCCTATTTGTCCCGCGGTGGAGCAGATATGGTTAAATATTAAAATTAACGGCAAGTCCCTTGTCTTCGGTACTGCTTATTGTCCCCCATGGTTGAGCGTGACATTATTTCTGGACGCGCTGAGCGAGTCCTTAGGTTCTATTGTAGGCTACGATCAAACAGTACTGCTTGGGGATTTTAATATCGACATTTTAAATAAACATTGTGTTAGTACCAAAATGCTTTCGGACTTCCTAACATGCAATAACCTCGTGCAATATGTTGAGGAACCAACACACTTTACTGAATATAGTGAGACACTGTTAGATGGTATATGTTCAGATGCATCGGTGTCATATATAAGTGTGGACTATATTAGTGACCTCAGTAGTCATGCCTTTATTGTATGTGAACTTGACATTCCCAAGCCTAAGTTTCAGCCTGAAAGCATCACGTATAGACCTTTAAGGAATATGGACATAAACCTTTTCAACCAAGATTCAAAACAAATCAACTGGCACTGTGCATCGTCAGATAACATAAACGATATGATTGATTCTTTTAACAAAAATTTATTAAATATCTTTAATTGTCACGCCCCTTCTAAAACTGTCTATATAAAAAAAAATATTATCCATGGATAACGCATAACATAAGATGTATGATGAGGACACGCAACGAGGCTCAAGTGAGAGCCCGGAAAACAAAACTTGCTGCACATAAGGATTATTATAGGGAACTAAAATGAATAGTTAATAAAGCGATAGTTTCAGAAAAGATTGCCTAATTCAAATTTTATATTAATTCAAAACTAAATCAACCTAAAATATTGTGGAAGCACATTAAACGCCAAGTTCAAATAAAAAGTAAGGATACTTCTTTGCCATCCCATTTCAGTGACCCAGATGCTTTAAACAATCATTTTCTTAATATTCCTGCTAAAAATGACGTCTCGTCACTTCTCACTTTCTTTGAATTTAATAGCACTAATGATAACTCTTTTTATTTTAAAGAAGCCTCGGAGGATGAGGTGGTTAAAGTTATAAACTCTTTGCAGTCTAATGCAGTGGGGTGCGATGGCATTTCTCTTGATATGTTAAAGTTATTACCTAAAGATGTTATTACAGTCATAACATACATAATTAATTAATCTTTTGCGACAAATACCTATCCGGATCTCTGGCAAAAAGCCATCGTTAAATCTGTACCAAAAACTACTAACCCTGTTTGTATGTCGGATCTCAGGCCAATTAGTATTCTACCGTGCCTTTCTAAAATAATAGAAAAGCTTGCATGTAATCAGCTAACAAAGTACCTTGAAGCAAATAACATCCTTCCTGAGCTGCAGTCTGGCTTTAGAAAGAAGCACAGCACTACCACAGCGCTTATAGAGGTCGTGGATGATATACTGAATGCACAAGCCAGTGGTGAGGGTACTATTTTAATATTACTTGATTTCTCGCGCGCCTTTGAAACCCTCAATATCCCATTACTTCTTTCAAAATTATATTTTTATGGTTTAAGCAGAAACGCGACCCAATGGTTTGCCAGTTACTTTAAAAATAGGTCACAGCAAGTTGAAATACAATTAAATGGAAAAGGTAAAGCTATTTCTGGGGAGCGCCCTGTGAACCGAGGAGTACCGCAAGGATCCATTTTAGATCCCTTACTTTTTGTAACATATAGTGCAGACATTATTAAAAATATAGAGTATTGTAAGTACCACATGTACGCTGACGACTTACAGATATCTATACCGCTTAAGCCTTGTGATGTTCAAGTAGCAGTGACAAAATTGAACTTGGATTTGGGTCGGATATCTTTGTGGTCAGAGCGTATAGCATTGGTTCTCAATCCAAAAATAGTCGCTAGGATCGTCAAATCAAATAAAAAAAGATCACACTAAGCCACCCTGCCATTATTGTAAACAACGAACCTATTGTGAGAGTCTCTAAAGTCAGAAATTTGGGGGTAATAATGGACGACAAACTTCGTTTTGAGAAACATGTAATGGATATTGCACGTAACTGCTTTTATAGGTTGAAAGTACTTTATCGTATTCGTGAGTACCTAAGTGTCACCTTACGTATACATCTCTGCGAGTCTATCGTGCTTTCAAAATTCAATTACGCGTTTTCTCTCATAGACCCACGACTATTATCTCGAACACAGCAAATAATACAGCGGGTACAGAATGCCTGTGCACGCTTATGTTTCAATGTACCACCACGTGCACATGTAACCCCTTTCATTAATAACGCTAATATCTTAAAAATGGACTGTCGCAGGCGACTACACTTTGCCTCACTTTTGTTTGGAATTATTACAAATAAAGAACTTTTATATTTATATAATAAGTTGATTTGGTCTAAAGATCAAAATAAGCAGTATAATACCAGATCATCCAATTACAAGTTAGTATATCCTTTCTACCGGTCGGCCGCTTTAGAGGTAGTTTTAAATATAATGCCACTAAATGTTGGAATAACCTCCCGCCTCCACTGCGTGACCTGAAAACAATTAGTGGGTTTAAAATAAAATACAGGTTACACTTACCTTCAGAACAAAAAAATACCGATCTATAAAATAAACTGGTAGGAGGTTAAGTTCTTTCAACACGTCAGTAATCTCAGTCCCATAAATTATGTAGATATTTTAATTTTCACTTTATATAATACAAAACTATTTTATTTAAATATTTATATGTCGCGTCAAAGGTGTTTTCTTCACGCTCCGACATGGTTTTAATGTAAATGTGGGCACACGAACGAAAGATGATTTAAATCAAAAATAACTTTATTTAGACTAGTGGTTGTACACGAGAAACAAACGCGTGCGTCGGTAGCGAGCGTCCGCTCCGGCTGTCCGAACTCCACTGCCACAACACTCGGTCCCTTCTCTAGCCCTCGCTGCATCCCCTCTACCGACGATCGTGTCCAAGCGGTAGGGCGCGCTTGCGTTTCCGGTAACGATATTATTGATTCGCAAAGCTAATTGTTAGATGGCGCTGCTTGTAGCACTATGGCGCCATCAATCCACGACACGGCCATCCCTGACTAGCACCCGTCCTCGGGTGCAGTGCCTGTGGACAAAATATGCTCAGAGAATAACTTAGCTCGGCTATCCTGCCAACGAAAACGAGGTTGATTCCAGATGGTACTTTATTTCTCCTAAATCTAAGTACAGTAATCAACTGCCATGATTGACAAAGCCCTATTATTAGGGCTTCTTACACAGTGCTTCCTGCACTACATGATTTATTGTGAAAGGCCCGATCAACAAGTTCCAACACAGCAATTCTGACAATTTTGTTACTCTTTACCATAATTCATAAGCAATGAATACTCAACTCGTGAAACTTTCATTGAAATCTGTGCACCAGCACAGACCAGAATCGCACCAACGATTCTTTACATATCTGCCGTCACATATGCCAGAATCGCACCAACGATTCTCCACATATCTGCCGCCACATACGCCACAACACATGAGG